TATTTCTCACCCTGAACAAAAATAAACTCAAAATGGACTAAAATCCTGAAAATTTGAAACAGCTAGAAGAAAACACAGGAGAAACACTTCAAAATATAAGCACAGGCAACAACTACCTGACTAGGATTCCCAATAGTTCAGGAAATGATAGCAAGAATCAGCAAATGAGAGAGCATCAAATTCAAAAGTCTCTGCACAGCAAAGGAAACAGTAAAGAGACAAACTACAGAATGGGAGAAAATCTTTGCCAGTCACTCTTCTGACAGAGAATTAATATCAGGAATACATACAGAACTAAAAAGAAACTCAACATCAAAAAATAACTCAATCAAAAAGTGGCCAAAAGGCCCCGGGATTTAGCTCAGTGGTTCCACCACCTGCCTCGCAAGCGCAAGGTACCAAGTTTAATCCCCAGTACCAAAAAAAAAACCAAAAAACAAAAAGTGGGCAAATGAGCTACAGACACTTCTCCAAAGAACTACATATGGCCAATAATTTTATGAAAAAATATAAGACATCAAAAAATGCAAATCAAAACTACAAGATTTCATCTCACCCCAGTCATAATGTCTATATCAAGAATACAAAAAGCAATAAATGCCAATGAGGCTGTAGGGAAAAAGGAACACTTATACATTATTGGTGGGAATGTAAAGTAGTACAGCCATTATGGAAGTCAGTATGGAAATGCCTCAAAAAACTAAAAATAGAGCTACCATTCAATCCAGTTATACCGCTCCTCAGTATATATTCTAATGAACAAAATTCAGCACACCATAGAGATACCTGCATAACTGTGTCTACTGAGCCACAATTTATAATAGCTAAGCTGTGGAAATACCCAAGGTCTTTGTGAGAGGATGGATGGACAAAGAAAATGTGGTATACATAAACAATAAGTATTATTCAACCATAGAAAAGAATGAAATCATGTCATTTGCAGAAAAATGTATGAAACTAAAGATCATCACATTAATGAAATAAGCCAGATTCAGGAAGACAAATATCACATTTTCTTTCATATGTGGAATCTAGAAAGAAGAAAGAAGGTGGCATGAAAGCAGAAGGGAGGCTATTGGAAGAAAGGCTCATAGGGATCATGGGGAACGGGAAGGGGAGGTAACAGTCCTCTGGGGTGGACATGATCAAAGTACAATACACGCAGGTATGAAAATGTTGCTGTGAAACTCATTATTCTGCACTGGTAAAAAATATTCTAAATGCAACATTGGAAATTAAGGAATTTATAATTGAATATGGAATTCAAGAGACAACATTTTTCATTAAAAAGTCTCCTACTAGTAGAGAGTGATTACAGAGCACTCGATGTAGATAGATTAGGAATGGAAATAGAAGATAAATCCATAGACAGATATATATTCACATAAATTGAAAGTTTTCTAATACAATGTTGAAAACAACACCAATTTTTCTAGATGTGGTTCCTAGTGCATAAACACTGGTGAAAATTTGAGAAATGCTCTGATTCAGAATTTCTACAGCTTATCTCAAGGAGCAGGAAACCCCTGAATGACCCCCTACATAGGAAAGTATAAGTCATGTCACTCGTTATTAATGTATAAAACACATGTCAGCAGCGTTTGATACACATGGACCAGTAATTGTCAGTTTTGGTTTGCAACGCTCCAGGATTTCTGTACTTATCTTCAAGGGTGTCAGGAAATTGTCAAAACAAAATTAATGTCCCTAATTTTTTAAAATGTGCTTTAGGACTCTGTAAGATAAAACCTCACGGAATACAGCCAAATAAATAATAAAATATTGTGACTCAAAAATTGCAGGAAATCAACAATCTTTACCTATAACAGCTGAGAAAATGATAGCTAAATGTCTGAGAAATTCTTGCTTGAAAAAGATTACTTATTTGATGCTCTAGCGCCATCCAGTGGCCATCGGTGGCCACCCCAGACCAGCGGGACTCCGGTGAATCAGTAAATGGTCAGTTTTCAACCACAGCAGGACTGCCTGGTACCAACACGCATTCTGCAGAGTATTCCAAGAGTGTCAAAGCATTCAGGAGGAGGAAACTGGATCATTCAAGACTCCACAGTTATGTCTACAATGTGTAAAGAATCCAGAGCACAGTGAGAAACGGGGCCATGATTCAGACATCTGACTGTGCATACGTGAGGCCCTGAGATCGCAGCTCCTCCCGATTCTGGGCTCACACGATACCCGAGATTAGAATCTGAGCCTTTGCCGCCACCGCTGCCGCCGCTGTGTTTCCCCTGACTGATTTCCATGACGCTTCCTGTGAAACCTTATCTCCCTGGTCCGTAAGTTCAATGACAGAAGAACCCTCATCTGTGCAGCTAACAGCTGCATCCCAGCCTCCAGTGTCTGTCTCATATTAATACGCAGTTATTAAATTAATCTTCATTTATGTAACTCCTCCAAAAATACGGTTGCGGTTTTTACTCTATGTTCACAAAGGCCTTGCAAATCTAATAAACGCAAGACACTCTCACAGAATGTGCACATGTAATTATGCACATGGGCTTAGGGGTTCTTGGACTCTATGTTACTCATGGTTAGTTCTGCTCTAAAAACATCACTAATACCAATTTCACAATTGGGAGGTGGAAATGATCGGTTGCATGTGTTACCTTTGCCTGCGCTGCTTCAGCTATTATTATTTCAGATCATGGTCTGAAAAGACAAGAGCTGGGTTTACTGTTAGTGAAACTAAAACTAATAGAAAAAGCAAACCGTCTCTACTAGAAAGTCAAACTTAGCATCAAAAAGTATATGAGAAAAGCAAAGAAAACAAGACAAACCTGGGGCAGATCCATCTACCACTGTTCCCCAGTGCTCTTTGCAAGGTTGCACTCAAAATGATCACAACAAAGAAAGCCCAAGGAGGGCAAGGGGCACCAAGCCCAGGGGCAAAAAAGGAGGTGCCCCAAGTTAGCACCAGACAGCTCCCCTGACAAGTCTCAGCTTGGGGTACGCTACCTCAGTCTGTAGCTGCCCCTTCCCCTCTCTGGCCCAGGTTCTGAGACCTTTCTTGCCTGTGACTGATGGAAAACTGAGCACTGTCCTAACCCTTCAAGCAAGGGCGTTTCTACTGGGGGACCTGAGACGCCCAGGACTTCACCTCGATCAGCCGTTATTACTGACACATCCTCGGTCCAACACCCACCACTAAACATTCTGACGATGGAAAAATGAATGAGAAGCAACAAGGCTCTGTAAATCAAATCACTTCACACATTCTGGTAAAGTAACTACAGGGAAGTATTTGAAAAGGTGCATCCTAAAGGCTGAAGAGTTCCAGCACAATGAAACATGTCTTTCCAGTTTGTACAGTGGCGTTATTGTTCTATATTGAGTTTCCTCAAAGCAGAGCAAAGCTCATGTTTTGAGGCAGATATATTATTTTCCCATAATTAAATCGTTAGCTTTCATCTTGAAAGACAATGTAGTCACCCCTCTCTCTGTGGGGGAGTGGACCCAGGGACGCCGTGGACCCTAAAATTCAGGCACTAGATTCCTCTCTATAAAATGGCATCATGTCTGCATACAGCCCACACATATATGCCCATATACTTTCTTTGAGACATCAGGATGGCCTCAAACTCACTTTATAGCCTTTATAGCCCGGGCTGGTCTAGAACTCACAATTGTCCTGCCTCAGCCTCCCCAGGGCCAAGATTACAGGTGTGCACCACCATCCCATATACTTCAAATCTCCTCTAGATTACTTGTAATATAGTGTAAATGCTATGAAAATGGTCGCTATACCGCATTGCTTAGGCAGTACTGACAAGAACAAAAAGTCCACGTGTTCGGCACAGACACAATTTGCCCTGAATATTTTTGCTCTGTGGTTGGTAGAATCCACAGAGGTAGATCCTACAAAGACAGGGCCAAGGTCATGATGTAATAGTTACGAATGAATGCTGTGGGGTCATTATTTGCTTATATGCTGGCTATGTCATCGAATGAGTTGTGCAATTTGGCACAAAGCAACTTCTGTATGCTTCAGTCTCCTTTTAAAAGGCTAATAAACCAGGGGTGGGGCACATGTCTGTAATCTCAGCATTTCAGGAGGCTGAGGCAGAAGGGTCTCAAGTTTGAGCCTAGCTTAGACAACTTAGCAAAACCCTGCCTCAAAATTTTAAAAATTTGCCAGAGATGTAGCTTTAGTGCAAAGCCCCATGATTCAAACCTTGGTGTGGCTAAAAAGAAAAAGATTTAATAATATAGCACAAACCTGTCAAGTTTTGTGAGAAATAAATGAAAATGATATGGGCTCATGCATGAGGGTGCGTGTGTGTGTGTGTGTGTGTGTGCAGAAATTCTGACAATAAAATTTGATCAGAAATAGCAGCTGTACTATAAATCTTTCTCTAAAAAGTCTACTCTAAAAAGCCTTTCTCTACAAAGTATTTACGAGTAGAAAAAGCATACAATTATGTGTTGCTTCGCGGCAGAAAAACATTCTGAGAAAGGCATCTCCGGATGGTTGGCAGCATGTGACCGGCACGGGGAGCCCAGAGCCACACTCAGCAACGCCCTCCCTCGGGCTGCCCGCTGTCGTTGGCCAAAACGCCATTGTGCGGTGCGTGACTACAAATGCTTCCTAAGTTCCTTTTTCCAACCTGAAGCAAACCAAGAAAAAGTGTTCTTTAAATCTAAACCCATATTAGCGCAGTTTAACACACCTGCCTGCTGAAGTTATAAAGACGCAAGACTTCCTTCATGCAAAACACCGCTTGTTTTCAGCTGTTGGCTTCTGACGCTGAACACACTGCAGAGAGAAGGCTGGGGAATGCCTCTCGATACTCCCGCGTGAGAATGAAAACTGAAAATCTCATCTGACCATCACTTCTCCATATGCCTACTTCTGGAGCCCCAAATTCCTGTATGATTGAACAGTGCCTTTCATGTTTATTTTCTTAGTAGATGCAATCCACTTCGTTCACAGCTCACTCCACCACAGTGATGTTTCCTTAATGCCTGACTATAGCACTTACCTGCTCAGAATCCTTCAGTCTCGCAGAGTTGGGAGTCAGAGGCTAATTGGTGAGCACAGCGGCTCAGTGCCTGCCTCCTTTCCGGCCCCATGCTGACCGCTGTCCCCTTTGATTGCTGAGCCCGGGCTTCCAAATCTGCTCCCAGCAGCTTGTCCAACGCCCAAGCATGCTGCTGCCCGTCCGAAGCGCTTGTCCGCATGCCCTGCGCTCCCCCCTCGTCTCACGATATTTTAGGCTCCCCCAGCACTCAGGAGAGGAGATGTCGGTTATCTGTGGGCAGCGTTTTCGCAGCGCCTCTTATCCTAGCAGAGTACAAGACCCACGACAAAGCTTCCTTGCTCGCAGACGACAGCATCGGGCCTGTGGGTGGGACATTCGCGTAAATATTTGTTCAATAAAGGAACAAAATGGAATTGCGTATTTTAACCCCTCATAGTCTCTCAAGTTAAGACTCAAAACATCTTTCTAATTTTTTCATTCGTATTTCTATCAGTGCATGTTTGCAGTACACAACGGCCACACTTCTCGTGGGCAGTTGGTACCGGTGCACAGCACATCTTCATTCTTCCTTCATCCCTCCCGCCCCCCTCTGTCCTCCTTCAGCTCATGGTTCCCTTACCATTTACAAAAGGTCCACCTTCCTACTTCCTATTACCTAGCTCTTATTTTTGCAATTAGTTTATACTTTGGGTTCCTCATGTAAGGGAAACCGTGTGGTATTTAAGCTTGTGTGTCTTACTTCACTTCACACTGTGGTCTCGAGGTACATCCATTTTCCCACAAATGAGTAACTCTATCCCTCTTCATAGCAGAGTAGTACTCCATCGTGTAAACGCCTCATTTTCTTTCACCATTCATCTGTTGATGGGCATGAGGGCTGCTTCCAAGAGTGAGCTCTGATGCGTTGTGCTGCTTTATAGCAGGATCACGGTAGCCTGATCTTTAACTCTTTCAGAAAGACACCTAGAAGGGAAGATCTGTAAGTCCGAAAACTTTCATGAGATTTAAATGCCAAGTAAGACGAGGATTACAGGACACACATGAAACACAAAACAGTGCCGGACTCAACAGCCCCGCTCCCTCGGCTTAACACACGTGGAGCCGAGCTGCTGTGAGTCAGGACCTGGCCGGAGGTCACACGCTAGTCTAGTCGGTGAAAGCGGGTGCGAACTTCAGGGGCTGCTAAGCCTACGTGCGAGCAGTGCCTGTGGCGGCTCCCTTCCCCGGGAGGCGGCGCCCGAGAGCCCGAGGCGCAGCGGCCGCACAGGCGCCTCCCAGAGCGAGCCCGGCCTCCGGGGGCGCTGCCCGAGCCCGCAGCCGCCCGGAGCGGCCGCCGGCCTCTGGTCCGCCCAGCCGCTCCCCTGGGCCAGCAGGAGGGCGAGGCGGGGCCGCCAGGCCCAGCCCGGAGCGGAGGACAGGACTGCGCCAGCGGCCCGGGCGCCATCCTCCGCCGGGCTGCACTCGGCACCGCTTCCAAGAAAAGCGCGGGGGTTTCTCGGCGGCCGCGGTGGAGCCCGAAGCCCGGCCGGGCCCTGCTGAGCAGGGCACTCCGTTCCCGCCCCGTCCCCGCCCTCGCCGGGAGAGCCGGAACTGAAGGGCCCGTGGAAGCGGCAGCTGGGCCGCGGGGAACCTGACCTTTCAGTCCCGCCTGCTCCGGAGACCCCGTCGGGAGCCGAGCGAGGCCGTTCGGGTCGCTTTGCCCATCTGGGCACAGAGGTGGCTGCCAGCGTCCCAACTAAAAAGCAGGCTTTCTGTCTTCAAACTCAGCAGTTAGGAAAAGCGAGAAATTCTTCCAAGAAATTCAGACTTTGTAAGAGGGTGACTAAACCGTTAGGAAGATAGAAGAACAACAGTGAGGAGTTTTGTAAAACATATGGCTGCCCATGTCGATGCAGACGTAATTATTACTGCTTGCTTTTAACTGGATTTGGTAGAAAGAGATCAAATATAAATGAATTGTTTTCATATGTGAGGAGGGTAAACCACACATTGTACTATAGACAATCTCAAATTATATTGGTCAAAGTCTTGGGAAAATCACCAAATAACTCAGGTTAAAACAACCCAGCTACGGCGTCGTGAGGAACTCCAGCTTTTCCTTCTCGGTGGAAGCGGCCGGTGAGAGGAAGGGGCGGCTCTTCCTCCCGTCCCTCCCTTCCCTGTGCACGTTATGTCCCATGGATGGTCCCATTGCGACCTTCGTCATCCCTTTTCCTGTAGCATTATCTTACCACGTTGGATAGCAAACATATTTGACTATGTTTCTGGCTTGTAATTGTATTGTTTGAATTTAATAGTCTGTAACTATCAGTGCTGAGATCATTAGTTTCATTAAGCATATTTCATGAGGCTATAGCAATAAGGACACTAGCAAAACATCAAAATGTATTAGTTTTATACGGCATAGATTACTGAGCAAACATTCAATTTTATTTGATGGTCTGTTTATTATACTGTCATTCCTTTCCATAATGATACTGGTTTTAATTTCAGTATACAAGTATGTATATTGCTATACATTTCAAAATGGTTTTTGTGACTGTTTCAGTAGCACAAAAACAAATGAAGGTAAAAGGGAAAGTGTTGCCGTTTGCTACTTTGAAGAAATGTTATATAAATATGCTTAATATGATTAATGTATAACTGACCCCTTCTGTGTCTAATTTTGTGTCTTTTGGAGGAAAAATTAACTGGATTCTACCTTCAAAGATCTCTGGGTGTCGATTCAAATAGGTTTAGTATATTTCAGTAACTGATTTCCTCCATTTTGACAAATTCAATACACTTGAGTACATCCCACCCCACTTTGAACCTTGTCTTCGGTTCCCACACTGAAGCCAGGAATACCACTGTCCGCCCTGGGGCCGCTTTGTGGGTTCTCTTGGTCCAGCACCCCTCCTGCCAGACTGACCGGTGCGCCCTCCACTCCTCGGCGACCCCTCCTGGCCTCCCATCTGTTGGCCTCTGCAACATCTACCTGTGGCTTGTGCTGCACGCAGCTTCTCTCCAGTCAGCTAAGTCCCTGGAGCTTGGGTCCAGCTGCACAGGAACTGCAGCTCTATCCGTTGGTCTCTGTGTTGGTGTACTGCATGCTCCCAGTCTCCCCCTGATCTCGTTGTTCCCAGCCCAGTGTCCATTCCCTTATTAGAACAATACAACAAACACTACTTCTTCCAACCGCACAGCAGCCGGTAACCAGCACGGCTGCTTCTCCTCCTCATCTCATCTCCTCGTACTTCTCTCTTGGTCAGGTCCACCCTCCTCTCGTGTCAGATCATTTTCCTGGGAAATTGTCCTTGCTGCCCAGAATCCTAACCAACTTCTTTTGTCAGATATTTTTAGTGAACTATGCTCCTTTCCTCCAGGGTATTCTTCCCAACTGTAATTTTTCACAATTTATCATGATTTATTTATTAATTTTTCTCCACATTTCTCTTCACACTTTGGAACAGCAGGCACCTTGATCCTTCCGACTAATGTTAAACCCCAGATATATTCCACGGATCCTAGATTGCATCTGGTGTTCAGTATTTATAAATATTTGAATGGATGCATTCATTTACTGCAGGTCCTAAGTCTTTCCTTTAAAAACATGTGGCAGCTCTTCCATTCTGCTATGGTCTGAATGTTGGCCTCTCCTTAAATGCATGTTGGAGCTTAACTCCCAAGGCAATAGTACTGATCGGGGCATTGAGTCATGAGGGCTTTGTCCTCATGAATAGGATCAGTGCCCTCACAGAGACTGAAGGGAGCTGCCCTGCCTTCTACCACGTCAGGACACAGCAAAAAGGTGTCCTTCCAGAGTCAGAGAATGAGCCGGTTGCAAACACCAAATGTAACAGGGCCTTGACCTTGAGCTTTCCAGCCTCCAGAGCTGCAAACAATAAATACTGATTGTTTAGTCAGAGCCATCAGGCAAGAAAAAGAAATAAAAAAGGATATGTGTAGGAAAAGAAGTCAAATTATCATTATTTGCAGATGACAGGATCCACTACATAGAACATCAAACAATTCCACCACTAGACTTCTACAAATTAACAATGTAGCAGGATGCAAAATCAACAAACAAAAAGCAATAGCATTCCTGCACACTAATAATGAACCCACTAAGGAAGAAGTTAGAAAAAAATAACCTTCACAGTGGTGTCAGAAAAATTAAACACTTATGAATTAACCTAACAAAGGAAGTGAAAGACCTCTACAAGAAAACTACAACTGTCTGAAAAGAGATGGGAGAGGACATCAGAAAATGGAACGATGTCCCTGCTCCTGGATAGGCAGAGCCAATATGGTCAAAATGGCTACACTCACAAAAATGATATATATGTTTAATTCACTCCCAGTCAAAATACCAATATCATCTCTCACAGAGCTAGAGAAAACAGTTCTAAAACTCATATGGACCCAGAAGAGACCCAGAATAGCAAAAGGAACCCTGGGTAACAAAGACAAAGTGGGGAAGCATCACAGTCCCAGATTTGAAGTTATATTATAAAGCTACTGTGATAAAAGCAGCATGGTACTGACACAAAAACAGTCATGTGAATCAATGGAGCGGAAGAGTGGATGCAGAAACAACACCAGGTACATTCAGTTATTTGATCTTTGACAAAGGGACAAAAAAATACACAGAGTAAAGATGGGCTCTTTAATAAATAGTGGTGGAGAAGCTGGCTGTTCACATGCAGAACATTGAGTCTGGACCCAAATTGCTCACCATGTACTAAGCTAAAATCAAAATGGATCAAAGTTTTAAATGTTAAAACAGAAACATTACATCTTCTGGAACATAAAATAGGTAAAACTTTTAAGTCATAGGCATAAGCAAGGACTTTCTGAACAGAACCCCAATTGTACAAGAAATAGTACCAAGAATCAACAAATGGGATCACAGCAAATTAAAAACCTTCTGCACAGCAAAGAAAAAACCCCACAAAGTGAATAGACAACACTCAGAATGGGGTAAAATTTTTCCCAGCTATTCCTTAGACAGAGGACTAATATCTAGAATATATAAAGAACTCAAAAAGTAGGACCCAAAAAAAAATAAAAGGCTCAATGAAAAACTGGGCAAATGAAATGAATAGACACTCTTCAGAAGAAGTACAAATGGCCAATAAATACATAAGAAATGCTCAACGTTGCTGGCCATTAGAGAAATGCAACTTAAAATAATAGTGAGAGTCCATCTTCCTTAAGAAGAATGGCCATCATCAAGAGATAAAATATCAAATGAGGCCACGGGGAAAAAAGACCCTTCTATATTTGCTGATGGGACCATAAACTAGTATAACCACTATGGAAGTCAGTCTGGAGATTCTTCACAAAAGTAAAACTAGAAATTCCATTTGACCCAGGTATTCCCCTCCTGGGTATCTTCCCAAAAGAGTTAAGACATCACATTACAGTGATCCATACATAACCATGTTTATAGCAGCACAATTCCTAATAGCCATATCTTGGAAGCAGCCTTATGTCCATCAACAGGTGAATGGATCAAAATATGTGGTATTTACACACAATATACAGTAGAGTACAGATAGAGTGCTACTCTACAATAAAGAAGGATAAATTTGAATGTTTGTAGGAAAATAGATGCACCTTGAGATTATGTTATGTGAACTAAATGAGATGTACAAGCTTAAAAATTCCATGGTTTCTCTTATATGAGAAGCCAAAAATCTAAGTAAAAAGCAAGATAAAATGTAGATAATAGAAAGCAGAGAGATGGATCATTTCCAAGGGGAAACTGACCAAGATATGGAGGGAGGATCGGGTAGGTGAATGGCCGCAGATGAAAAAGGATTAAGATGTGTTGTGTTGCATGGACCAACTCCCCACAGGGGTGTGATCATTATGCACTGTAACATGTACCAATAAAAAACTGACAATAAATAGATAAGCTATTTTATCATAGTTTATTTATAAACCTCAATCTAAGGCATTTTGTTATGGTGGC